ATTGGATTCACTACGGAGCTTCCAACCAGCAAATCGTCCAATGATACAATCTTGAAGAAGTTCCTCGCCAACTGAGCCTGCTCTCTCTCCAATAAAACGCTATTGTCGCCTTTCAGTATTCTAAAAATTATGAGAGATGAAAAAATAAATTGGCGTAGCAAAGTTAAGGACTAAAAAAATTTCATTTGACAGAAGCTCTTAGAAGTTTTTTGCCCATCATTTGAGTACAGCTTTACGTTCACTCTGAACTGAGATTACGAAAAGAGATTTGTGAATCAAACATTCAGATTAAGAGTGATTTCTCGATTGGGTCTAGAGTGCATTCCACCCTGTTAGAAAATAATGTCAAAATTTTGCAGCTTAGTTCCAATAGGATCTCCTGACAAAAATGATCCTCATAAAATAATGCACTGATCCTTAACATCATAAGATAATGCTTTGTTTTGATCAAAAGTTTAAGATAAAGCATGGAAATTTTAATTCAAAGTAATATCAAGGCAGTTTCTACACAAAAAAATTCTGATGGTGCAAAAAAGCAACTCATTCTAACCAAAAAAAAAGTAATGTTCGTTTTTTCAAACTTCTCTAAGCATAACACTATAGAGGAGTGGTTCATAGAGGGAATCAAATGTCATTGTTCACCTAAACGTTGAAGACAAGTAAGATACTTACTATATGTATGTGAATCCAAGTTATGTCTCATAAGCAAACAATGCTAAGTGCAGATTTTAACAATGAGATCAAATGATAGCGAGAAAGACCATTTCTCGCAGATTAGTACATAGGTATTACAGTACATAGAAGATAGTCAAATACCTTCCAACGGCTACGCAATGATTGTCGTTGACAAAACTTTCCTCAAATAACCAATTGTTCTGTTTTATGCCATTCTCTGACCACGTTGTCGATGTGATGAAGCAGCCTACAATCATCATTATTGAGAAATAAAAGAAAGAATAAAGTTGAGGTGGTAAAGTTTTGTTAGATTTTGAGCACCTGGCGCATGTTTCTCCTCAGTCGTATGAAATTCAAGAGCACGTAAATCGTTCACTAGTCCTGTACCAGTTGCCTTTAAGACCGACTCTTTCAAACACCAAATGCGATAGAAGGCTGTCCATCTGAAAACAAAGTTTCAGCAGTGAAATTTTTATAAAAACAGCAATTTGGAGATAAAGTCGCGGTTGGAGTTTAAAAACAAGAATTAAATTCAGGTGAGGATAAATTTTCATTACAAAGTTGCTCCGGAGGATTGTACACAGCAGATGGATGTTAATGTTGAAAAATGAATTCATTTGCAAACAGAAATTGGAAGAAACTGATGAACATTTTGAAGGCCTGAAATTTTATCTAAAGATATCTAAAAAGTTACTAGTAAAGAAGAGCAGTATACTGTTTTTTTGCAGAAATAATATAGAATTAATTAACGCAAATAGCCGCTCATTTTGCAAAAGAAACGTGATTTCACATAAAAATCCGTCGCAAGCGTCGCATCGTCATAACTTTTTCCAAAATAGATATTTCAAGTAAAAGGGGTATCAGACTCAGCTCGTCCAGACGAATCTTAGGGTATGTCACACTACAGTAACATCTAGGATGTACTGTAGGTACGGTACGAAGTCATTATGACAAATTCGCCTGTGACTTTGCGTAGGGGTGGTTATATGACACTTCCACGCAAAGTATCAGACGGACTCGCTATGTTGACTTTCTACCGTATTACCGTACACCTTACTGTAGTGTGGCATACCTTAAGATTCGTCTGGATGAGCTGAGTCTAACACTGCTCTTCTTTTCAAAAATATCTATTTTGAAAGAAGTAATGACGATGTGACGCTTGTGACGGATTTTTATCTAAAATCACGTTTCTTTTGCAAAAGTTATGACGGTATTGTACTTCAAATATTTCGGCTGCATGCGCAGTTAAAAAAATATGTATTTCTCTCATATGCTAAAGAATGGATAGTTAGGTCATATCATGCAATATGGATTCAAAATTTCTTTTTATTTTAACAATACTATAGCATCATCAGACTTTAGATATGTCGAAGTGCATTTTACAACTTTAGCAGCTTGAAAGCGCAGAAATAAAAATCCGCAAGTTACTCCTATTGAGAAAGTGAGTCCAAT